TCGCCGCCGCCCTTCCCGCCGGGCAAGGCCCCGACCCCGCCGCCGTCGCCGCCACCCACCCCGCCCGGCAAGGCGCCCACAGCGCCGCCGCCGCCGCCCTTCCCGCCCGGCCTCGCCCCCACGCCGCCGCCTCTGCCGCCGCCCTATCCGCCCGGCAAGGCACCGAGCCCGCCCCCGTCGCCGCCGCCCTTCCCGCCCGGCGCGACGCCGCTGCCTCCGCCCTCGCCGCCGCCCTTCCCGCCAGGCAAGGCTCCCCGCCCGCCGCCCTCGCCGCCGCCCTTCCCGCCGGGCAAGGCCCCGACCCCGCCGCCGTCGCCGCCACCCACCCCGCCCGGAAAGGCGCCCACGCCGCCGCCGCCGCCGCCCTTCCCGCCCGGCCTCGCCCCCACGCCGCCGCCTCTGCCGCCGCCCTATCCGCCCGGCAAGGCACCGACGCCGCCCCCGTCGCCGCCGCCCTTCCCGCCCGGCGCGACGCCGCTGCCTCCGCCCTCGCCGTCGCCCTTCCCGCCAGGCAAGGCTCCCCGCCCGCCGCCCTCGCCGCCGCCCTTCCCGCCGGGCAAGGCCCCGACCCCGCCGCCGTCGCCGCCACCCACCCCGCCCGGCAAGGCGCCCACGCCGCCGCCGTCGCCGCCCTTCCCGCCCGGCCTCGCCCCCACGCCGCCGCCTCTGCCGCCGCCCTATCCGCCCGGCAAGGCACCGAGCCCGCCCCCGTCGCCGCCGCCCTCGCCGCCGCCCTTCCCGCCAGGCAAGGCTCCCCGCCCGCCGCCCTCGCCGCCGCCCTTCCCGCCGGGCAAGGCCCCGACCCCGCCGCCGTCGCCGCCACCCACCCCGCCCGGCAAGGCGCCCACGCCGCCGCCGTCGCCGCCCTTCCCGCCCGGCCTCGCCCCCACGCCGCCGCCTCTGCCGCCGCCCTATCCGCCCGGCAAGGCACCGACGCCGCCCCCGTCGCCGCCGCCCTTCCCGCCCGGCGCGACGCCGCTGCCTCCGCCCTCGCCGTCGCCCTTCCCGCCAGGCAAGGCTCCCCGCCCGCCGCCCTCGCCGCCGCCCTTCCCGCCGGGCAAGGCCCCGACCCCGCCGCCGTCGCCGCCACCCACCCCGCCCGGCAAGGCGCCCACGCCGCCGCCGTCGCCGCCCTTCCCGCCCGGCCTCGCCCCCACGCCGCCGCCTCTGCCGCCGCCCTATCCGCCCGGCAAGGCACCGACGCCGCCCCCGTCGCCGCCGCCCTTCCCGCCCGGCGCGACGCCGCTGCCTCCGCCCTCGCCGTCGCCCTTCCCGCCAGGCAAGGCTCCCCGCCCGCCGCCCTCGCCGCCGCCCTTCCCGCCGGGCAAGGCCCCGACCCCGCCGCCGTCGCCGCCACCCACCCCGCCCGGCAAGGCGCCCACGCCGCCGCCGTCGCCGCCCTTCCCGCCCGGCCTCGCCCCCACGCCGCCGCCTCTGCCGCCGCCCTATCCGCCC